ACACTTCTTACATAATGAAACTGAAGGAGACTTTTACAATAGATGCCAATTAATAGCTTTCTGAAATTTTAAGTTAAAGCTGTTCCGCTAATTACATTCCAAAGTATATTTTTATAAAGTTTTTCTCACGTAAAAATATTCGCAAAAATATTTCAGTTAAGAATACTTTCTCATTTTTTTAATGCAGCCTCCTCGACCGTTACCGACATGGATTGGCGAGCTATCGGCCACGAAGTTTGGTTCCATATGTCTTCAATACGATCAAGTGCCAGACATGCCTCCAGAGAGAGTTGTGGGTGCCGAAGATTGTCTGTATTTAAACATTTACGTACCAGTACGGGAAAATTGGAGTGATAAAACCGCATTGCCGGTAGTATTTTGGATCCACGGCGGTGCGTTCCAATTTGGTAGCGGGATGTACTACAGCCCCAGATATCTAATGGACCATGATGTTATATTTGTTACAATTAACTATCGGTTGGGGCCAATGGGTATGTAACATTTGTTGTGTGCTTATACAATAAGATTATTGAAAATAATAATTTCAATGTTAAAGTTTATCTAGTAAAGTGTTTTAATACAGACAAAACATGATCTAGTTAATGTATAAATTTCTTTTGGTCATCTCATATCTTCCATTTCTTTAAAAACAACTTCTTAAAAATATCAGGTTTTCTCAGCACGGAAGATGAAGTACTTCCTGGCAACATGGGTCTGAAGGATCAAAGTCTGGCACTTCGCTGGGTATCGGAGAACATCGAATGGTTCGGTGGCGATCCACAGAAAGTGACCTTGGTCGGTTTGAGCGCCGGCGGGGCAAGCGTGCATTATCATTACTTATCGCAAATGAGCGCGGGTCTCTTTCGAGGTATTTTTGCGAGAAGATGCAAAATCAACGCAAAGATTTTTGTCCGTATTACGTTACACTGTTATATACCAATTTTTAATAACATAGGTGGCATATCGTTCAGCGGTACAGCGCTTGATTGTTGGCCGCAAACTGAGAACTCCTTGGAAAAGGCCAAGAAATTGAGTGCTTTGATGGGATGCCCTACAGCCAATACCAGAGATATGATACGTTGCTTAAGATACCGTCCCGCTCGCGAGATCGTTCAGGCTACAAGTGAATTTATGGTGAGGTTTCTTTATTGATTGACTCGAAAACAACGAACGCGAGTGTAAAAGAAGAAATCTAAGTGATCTTGCAATTTCAGACGTTCTTCTTTAATCCCTTCTCTCCGTTCGGTCCGGTAGTTGAGAAATTTGGTGACGCACCTTTCATCGATAAAACGCCCGTTGAAATCATCAATAACGGAGAAGTTCAGGACGTACCCTGGATTACGGGAGTAACGAGCGAAGAAGGCCTCTATCCCGTAGCTGGTAAGATGTGCCTGATAATAGGAACTGCACATCCTCTCAATAATATGCAGACATAAACCATACTATAACTTATCGTAGAATTTATCGCCGATGATCAGAATCTTCGCCAATTGAACGACAATTGGGATATTCTCGCACCGGACTACCTTGATTTCAATTATACCATCCCCAGAGAGAAACATGTCGAGATTGCCCGTCTCGTCAAGAAACATTATTTCGGTACAAAACCAATCGATCGACAGACCACGAAGGAACTAATACAGATGTCGGGTGATCGCTTCTTCGTGGTCGACAGCGAGAAGGCTGCGCGAATGCAAGCCACAGTAAATCGTAGCCCAGTCTGGTACTACTACTTTAGTTATAGAGGAGCGCATAGCTGGAGCGATTATTTCACCGGTGCCACTGAGAACTATGGTAGGTCTATGAGAGATATCGTCGTTCGTATTGAATTTACAAATGTTAAAATACGCATATACGCATATTGTAAACAGTTAATTAAAAATTTATTCTTTTTCATATTATTAGGAGTTTCCCATGCCGACGATGTATTTTACGTGATATGTTATCCCTGGGTAAACTCAACAACAACGCAAAGTGACCGTGATATGCAGAAACATTTACTTAACTTTTGGATATCGTTTGCCACGGAAGGGTAAGTATAAAATATCGGTATACCGCACATTAAATTGAATGTAAAGTCTTATAACACGAAAATACTAATTTTTCAAATTTTTTCAGAATCCCAAAGATAGCCAATGTCGAATGGCCAAACTTGGATAGTACGAAGAAAGAATTTCATTATTTACATATTGCTAGCCCTCATAAAATTAATATGATTAGCAATGCTAATCTTGGAGAAAAAGAATTCTGGAACTCGATTAATTTCCAAGAGAATATATTACGTAGCACATCTGGAATCAAGAAAGAAGAGCTTTAAATGCTATCGGAACAAAAAATGAACGTTTTTTTAATTAAATTTAACTTGACGCTTCAATTTAATATTACGCAGTTTTATGTATACGTGCAATGTAGGGTTGGGAAGTAACTCTAACTTAACTTCGTTACTTTCTCTCCATCTGTAATTGTAACTTAATTCAGTTACATTCTTTTGATAACCAGTAACTAATTTAATAGTTTTCCTACCTACCCGCATTTCAACTTTTTGTTAATAAACCTACAAGTTTTTCGTTAAAACCGCGACGCAATTTATAAGAGGTCCGATTTGGGGTTATACGAAAGCGATTTATTATATTAATAGGGATTTAACAGAGGGGCCTTTTTAATCTTGCACATATGCGAGAATATGTAAAGAAGATAATTAAGAATATAACCCACCCGAATTTTGGCAAATAAGAAGAAATCAACTTATTTCGTACAACACCTTACATATAATACTCCATCAAAGTGGCCAATATTGACCACTTACCTCGTCATATTCCTTCATCGGGCCAGATTAGACCTACCATTCGTTGCTTCGGGCCATACAGTCTGGTCATTTTGACCAGAGATCAGGAAGGAAGATTAGAAATTTTACCTTAATAGTTGATGCATACAAATGTATATTACTAAATTACAAATCTTCATTTAGTATGAGCAAAAATTATCGAATTATTGACTTTAATAGTAATATAAATTGGCATTAAATACATTATTGGAAATAGCATTGGGCGCGCTATTTGGTTTTAATTTCTATTTATAAATCTTTCAGGAAAAATATATTTAAAAGTCTGGGACAATTTAAAATTCCTCAGAATATACCAAATAAATTATGCTGTGTGGGATATTTGAGACATTTTTCTATTGGGGACTGTTTCCTAATGTAGAGAAAAATATTTGCAACCTTGCAATACAATTATTCTGCAATATATCGCAACATTTCTGTGACGCATGGAATCCTCTTTCTATGCTTTCACTCATTTTTCTATACTTTTACGTGATTACATTGTTGACTTGTGCTTTTACATTAATTATAAAAATGTAGTAAATATCATGAATAAAAATACTTTAGTTTGTTTACATTAAAAAATCTATAGCTTTTTTTTTATTTGAAAAGAAATATCTGTATTAACGAAATCGTAAAAATTGTGTAAGGGAAAGTCAGGGGGAATGTTTTTTTTACGTACATTTTATTATACATATTTTACAAAATTATATCTCGGTGAGATCTACGTCAAAATATCTCTCGACTACTATACTGCTCGACTACTGCGTGTTTAACAATTAATGACTTCAGCTGGACGTCGGGCAATTGTCGCGCGATTATCACTGCGTTACGCTCTCCTCCTCGTCGTAGAATTCGTGATTAATACCGCGTACTTGACTACAGACACCGCCAGATATAATTTGTGACGTGGATCGGTAGCGACGCAGAGAGTGCTTATGTCTTCCGTTTTCTTTTTTTCTTTTTTAACATTTTAGAACGTAGACTTAACGTAGACAGGAACATTGTTTCCGAGATACGCCGCTCGACCCCTCGATTGAAGTATTATTCAGCTATATTGTTCGCAAGGTGTCGTATATAAAATATTTCCTTTCTCCTTCTGCCGCTTGTACGATTATTGTCTTGTACGCTCTACTTGCAGAATAAATGCTGTTTCGGGCTACAAACAAAGGTTTACACGATCACACTGTCTCTAGTTGCCGTCACGTCGAGACGAGGGTTTGCGATCTGGCCATCGAGAGAGCGGCAGCATTCGTTCTCCTCCGCGATATCTTCTCCTTTAAAAACTTCACGAACAGCGAGAGTAAAGTTTAAAATATATATCGTCGTTTTTGTCAGTTTTATTTGCAAAAGTCGGCTTTGTACAGAGGGATCTTATAAATTCTCCTCAACTTTTTACACATACAAAATACTTTATACATCCGTCCTCAGATTGCATATTTATTGTCTGCATATTTATAGCACGTTTCTTCATGATACGATCATTGTGCTCGTCAGAATTAACAAATATATATATAAATAAAGAGAAATACATATATACTGCTCTTTATATAAAATAAAGCGAATAACGAATCACTATATGATGCTACGAGTAACAAAAGTTTGTAAAGTACTCGACTGCATGACAAGACGCATATTCGCTCCGAGAATATCGCTTTGAGAATTCGCGTTCGCGCAGAAATTCACAAGAGCGCATTTCTCTCTCCTCCCTTTTACACCTGACTTAATTTCGTTTCTACCGCGTCGATGAAACTCATAAAGCGACTAACCGCGAGGTGAAGACGATTCGACAATAAACTTCAGATGAATTCGTGCACCGTTAAATCGCGCAACCGTATCGTGATCCCTTTCTTCCTCTTCCCATTTTTTTCTTTATTCGTGTGAGTGCACTGTGCCATTTAATAGTGAATTTAGTTGCTTGGACTAGCGCGCATTGAATGCACACTAATAACGAATTCGGTCGCTCGCACTAGTGTGCACTGAGTGCACACCAAGGCTTATTTGTAGTCAATTGTTATATTTCAATTCGTCTTAAATACATGTTCAAAAGGTATTTAGCCAAAAAATGATCCATACAGACGCTGTATAGATTATTTTACTGGCTAAAGGCCTGTATCCACGATGCTAGAGCTTGGTCCGAGTTCTAGTGGTCAATTCTGTATCTAAAGGCCTGCGTCCACGATGCTAGGACTTGGACCAAGTTAGAAAATATTTCAAGAGATATTTAAGACGACTTTTTAATATAAGAATCGATTGCAAACAAGCTTAACAAGCACTCGGTGCGCACTAGTGCAAGCAACCGAATTCGTTATAAGGTTTGTTCAGAGTCAGTTCTTATATTTATGATAATCTTAAATACACGTTCAAAAACTCATCTGGCCAAAAAGCGATTCGTACGGATGCTGTGCGGATCATTTTACTAGCCAAGAAGCCGTTCAAGAGGTACTAAAAATAATTCTTAAACATAAGAATGAACTGTAAACGAGCCCGAGTGTGCACTAGCGCAAGCAACCGAATTCTTGATCGGATCGTCCCGAACGCAGTTTGCGAGAGGACACACTCGTGCCGAAGAAGCGGGATGTTCTGTCGGCGAAATTGGAATATCGCCCGCCGTGTCTCGGCGGCTCCCGGCAACGTCGTAAAAGCGATAATACTGAACATGTGTGGGCCGAAAGGCGATGTCGACTTGGACGTGAAACCCTCTCCCCTGTCGCGAAGACTAAATATTAGTCCCCGACTTCGGCGGCGCCTAGTAATACACGTAACGCGGGTAAAAGACGCGCGTTACACGGTTAATATGTACACGGAGATATAACACGACGCCACCTCGTTCCTCTCCTTCCCCCCCTTTCTTCGCGAAATATCCTAATTTACAATACTATACAGCGTATCGTCCGCATTGAGCTGCGACAGACGCGCCGAGGGAAATTAAATTATCGACCCGAGTATCGCTTCAAATCTCTCTGAACACAAAAGCGCGTTGTACTACGTGTTGCAATCGCGTTGAGGTGCGAGTTAAATCGTTCGCACGACGTCAGAGGTGATCGTCAACGGGACGTTAACACCTAAATGCAATCGGTTTTCAAACCGCCGCTCATCGCGCTCTCCCCTCGAAGCGACGCTATTCGTGCGCAATTTCGCCAAGGCTCATCCTTCTTGCGCCCCTTCGCGCGGACTTTCCAATCGACTAACGACACCTCGATACTATCGATCGAGTCGAATTCGTGGATTAATTTTCTTAATAACTGCGCACTCGTCTCTATGTCAGCTTCAGACGCTGGGCTTCCAACCATCGCGTTCGTATTCCGATTTTTCCCCGGAAAATCTCCAGAATCCGCTCGAGTCTTCGATAAATACATTCGTTAAATAATCGCGCTAGTGAATCGCTTGTCGCGCGGGGCTTCGCTGGCTCTCGTATTCGCGATGACTCGCGTCATCGGTTCAACTTTTAGCCCGATGTAATGCATATTCTATCTCTTTCAGGCGATTTCTCTAGATCCGAAAGACGTTCCGCATACTATTGATGAATAATTCAGAAGATTGAAAAATCTTGGAACTAGTTATTCGCGTAAGGAAGACCAAATTCCGATTAAACGCGCCGCAAGAGCTAAAACGTGGAACTTGATGCGGCGAGCGTGTCAAGCTCGAATAAATCTCCGAGAGCTTCTCCAAAGCTTCCAAAAATAGGTCGTGTGGCAGCTTCTAAATACCTATCTAAATTTCATCGTATACGAAGGCAACTATTCGAAGACACATACGCGTTGGTATTACTACACGTGCTTTCTTTACTTACGCCGTGTTCCGTGGAAGAACCAGAATTCTCGCCGAGCCCGAGGAACAAATGAATTACAGCGACCTGGCGTTAAATTGCAATCCTCGCGATTGTAACTCAATACGCAACTTCGTAAGTTATTTCCGACCGCTCTTAGAAAATACGGCGCACAATATCCGTTCTCCAAGTTTTCGCTCGTAATACACCGAAGAATTGTGTGCTCTAGGTTCTTGAAATCCTCGAGTTCCGAAGCTTGCGAATCTTAGGCTTTGTGTTACGCGCTCGATATTTCATCAGATACATATTGCCGGAGATTTCGCAAAATTATCGCCGTTGCTCGATACTTGCTTAATCTTGAGGAAATTAACACTCGAACTTTAGGCTTGAATTCCGGAGTTAGGTTTGTTCGGAGGGATGTTTTAAAATACAATCGTAATTCCTAGACAGTCGACGAATTAATTTGCCACGTGCTACCGACTTCGTATTATCTTCTGATATATTAGTAGCTAATTAAAACCTGAGTACGCGCCCGCTCGACTTGACAAGGTATTAACGATCGGTCACTTTGTAACTTGCATTCGCAAAAACCTTTCTGAATTATTTATGCATCGAGATATTCGCGTCGACAACGGTAATAAAACTCGACCGGTTTTCGCAAAAATACGAACGGCACTCTCGATCGGCCTTTATAAATTAATTCTTGGCGAGCGCACAGGATACAAGTGATGAATTATTAATGCTTTGTCAAGTAATACCATTGCGACCATCCGTCCGTGGGACTCGTCGGCGGACTGGCAGATCGACGATTTGGATTTGGTGGAATATACTTTCAGACGACCACAGCCTCGTAGGAATGCCCTTTCGGTCCGACAGTTCTAACTTGCGCGTCCCGCCCGCCGGAGAACGCTATAATGTGCGACTTCCTGTAAAAAAGACACTCTTGTTCGAGCTTTCGTAAGTTGTCCGATCGGTCGCGCGATAAGTCGACATTTCAAACATTACGACTGTTCAAAGAAACTTAACTTCGTTAGTTTCTTTCTTTTCGACAACTAGTAACTAATTTAATAGTTACATTAAGAGTTACTTTATATTTTAAACCTCCACAGATTGCATTAGGCCTTGCATTTGCACATGTAAGAAAGTAACTGCAAAGTAACGATTCGTTATTTTTTTTTAGTTACTGTAACGCATTACTTTTCAGAATTGGTAACTTGTAACTGTAACTAGTTACATTTTTAGCAACAAAAAGAAACTGTAACTGTAACTAGATACTTTTGTAAGATAACTTTCCCAACTCTGTCGAAATGATGACGATTGACGTCAGTCGCGCCTGTGGTCACGCAGAAATTAATCTTACTACGGTCAGGGCGCGTCGAACTCTTGATCTCCGACCAGGTACAGAAATTGGAAGGCAATCGCCAGCAGGCTGATCCCTAGCAAGTCACCCATCGCGGTCAGATACGGGATCGCCGAGTTGTCGGGATCAATTTTTCGCTTCCACATCCAGTGGATCATTATGAAGGCGATGTAGAGGAGCGCCGCGACCTGCAGCATCGCCGCGCAGAGATAAACGAAGACGAAGAGCGGCGTCATCGACGTGTTGCCGTCCTTCATGTAATTGATCAGGTAAATGAAGATGATGTGGCCAGGTATCACCATCGTCATCAGGACTCTCGTGGTTCTGGCGTGTATACCTGAGGAGACGAGGCAGTGAAAAGTCCCGGTGATCAAGGAGAACGTCGATAATTTATTGGAAATAATTTCACGAAAGAGGATACCTTTCCCGAAGAAATTGGCAATTGGGGTGATGAAGATGACGGGGTGCGTGTGGCCCGGTGGGATTAGAAGCGTGCCAAGTTCGGCTTGTTTGTGAAGCGCCGTCGATATCCTGCTAGCTTGAACGGCCACCAGGTTCCCGCCGACGCCGTTGATGACCGGCTGGAACACCGTCAGGTTCTCGAAGCGCGACACCATAAACTCCAGTATGAGACCGCCACAGCTGTGAAAAATGTCGCACTTGTAGATTCTTCTTTATCTCGAGCTGTACTCGAAATGTACAAGATAAAGTTCTAATAATAAGTCTTTGATCGGCAATTCTTTACTGTCAGGCTTCGAGTTGACTTGAGGAAACGCTCTCTCTTTACCTGCTGATCAGCATGGCCACCATGACTGGCGTCCAGCCGAAGTAGAGCACGTCGTTGGTGTACTTGTTCTTCTTGGCGATCCACACCCAGAGCGGCGTCACGAGGACGTAGCAGGCTATGACGAGGGGTGCCACCCAGTCCTGCTTGTCTATGCTTTCGTAGAGTATGGTGGCGATCCACGAGAGGAGTGCCAGCGACGTGATGTCGCCGAGGCTGGCGGCTATCGGCGTGGCCACGTTGTCCGGATTGATATGGCAATGACGGGAGAAGACGATGACGCCCGCGGTAATAAGGCCCAGAACGAAAGAGGCGAGGGACGCGGTGACCAGGCTGCTGGCGCACAGTAGATAGGCATGGTCCAGGGAGACCGTGCCGTTGCGGAAGGCACCCATCACGATCGCCACCACGGAACCCAGAAAGCCCACCACTATCGCTTGACACTGCGCACGATTAGGGTGACTTTTTAATCCCGATAACAGCTCGATGGCTCAAGAGAAGTTACATTTCTTCTTCAATTTTCTTAACAGCTGCGATTGTTGAAACACATTGTATAAAAAAATCAGGAGTCTCCCTCGGTATAGAAAACCCAGTTCTTCGGTAAAGTTCAATTTAACCGTGCGTATAAATATTTAATTCTATAAACATTTCGCAAAATATTTTTTATTTTGGGAAAAATGCAAAGAACAACCAGTCATGAGTTGAAGAATTCCGGTAGAAGAATAGTGGAATTAGGATTTTAGCAATTCTGGGAATTTTGTCGTCTACGTTGCATTAGAATGATCGATTGATTCGATTAATTTTCACACACTCGGTAGAAACCTTTTTCTAAATTTTATTCGGCAACTTCGTTCTAAAATATGTTTTATAATTCGCACTGCAAACTCACGCTGAGTACAACCGTTTGATCACGGCGATTCTTTGGGGTCTTTAATTCTTATCGAAAATTTCAAACGTCTGCTGATCCTATACAGATACCGATTCGTTGAAGTATACGTATCGTTTATCGCGTGGCGTGTCTCGTGAGGTAACCAGCTCGTGCTCGCACATGAGGGATCACATGGCAAACAGTCGGCTTTCCGAAGGCCGCCGTCTATCGTCGTCGCCGTCAGCGTTGAACACATAATAAAATAAAATCGTGGCGCCACTGATAAGACGGGCGGTAGCTCAATTCGCTAAATTCAGCGGCGAGGAGAAAAGTCGCTCGCTTTCCCGTGCCGTTCGTTTCGCAATTAACTGCTAACCACAGGTCAAATTGCCCGCGTCATTTCGCGGTATTCTCTGTCAATTGACGATTTCCGGGATGTATCGACAATGGCATTGGCAGGTAGCGCGGGGATTTGTCGAGATTTGCGGATTACGGCATCGCGGAAAAACCTCGTCGCCGGAAACTCGCGGGGCTGAACTTGAACCTTGAACCCGAAAAACATCTAAGTCCGCAGATATATTTACGCTAGATGATAAGGATGCTAGGTGATAAGGAGCCGGGTGATTAACAGCGTAGAACTTTTCCGCGCGTTGCAAAGTTGTTGAACGAGACGTGGCGAACGCGCGCACCTCAGAGGAGCCGAGAAGTCGGGTGGGCCGACCGAGAGGAGAGATTCCAGGAGGAAAAATACACGGCGCCGAAGCGAGCCAATACGCGTTTCGCAATGTATTCGACGGAATTAAGTTAGGAGTCCTTCGTATGACAAACGGCAAATATCGGTGGTTTAATTGTGGAACATCTAGTTAGAACCAGTTTCGCGAAAGTAAACTCCCGCGGCTGAACCGCGAGAGGAGGGTCCGAGGCAGCGCACGCGGTTTGCTCTTAGAGACTTTATGCGCGCCAGAAGTTATTCCGACAACCATTATCGACGACCCCTGCGTTGATTTCGTACCGCGTGCTCTCAAGGCCCGCGAAATAGCTGACGAAATTATCGCACCTGTGTCGAATATCGCGGGAGTCAGTCGTCTCGCTCCTGGAAAAATCGGTGCAATTCAGCCCGAGCGAATCAGCGATGCTTACTTGTATTAAGACGAGATTCCCGATGATCATGTGCCACTGCTCCTTCGGCAAGTCCATGTGTCCGAGATTCGCTTGAGTAGAGAGACGCGACGCCAGAGTCATTTCTAGATTACCCTTCAGCCCCAGAAGCGCCGGTACAAGAATCATAAGCTCGTTGACTTTCTCGAAGACCACCCAGTGCTGAAAGAGGACACGAAAATTCATCGCTCAATTAAAATTAATGCCACCAAGATCACGTTAATTTCAAGTCAACGTGTTAGAAGATAAATGGATCTAAAGATCGAGTTCTATAATTAAACCCTAAGCACGAATTCTTCATATTTTTACATCCTCAAACATTTCAATCGCTTCTATTAAAAATATTCGACGCTACGAATGAAAAGAAATCAACAACAATTTCATCGATGTTAATAGTATACGAGTTGGACGTTCGATTTGAGAATAAAATCGTGCGTCGAATTGATTTCCTACATTTCTACATTTCGTAAGAAGATTCGTTCGCGACAAGAGTAAATTCCGTTCGTACTTGGACGAGATCGAGGACTAATCCGGCGCCCACCATGCCGAGACCGGCGATGAGGAAGGGTATGAAGACCTGGATGGTGATCGCCAAGTACGACTCGAGCGGCTCGTCCTCGTCGGTCACGCCATAGAGCTTGCTCTCGGCGACGACGTCCGGCAACCGGCCGCCGTCGACGCCCTCGTCGAAGATGGTCACCTCGAGGCAGTCCTCGGCGGTGGAGTTCGCCGTTGCCGCCTGTCCATTCGTGGCGGTGCTGGCGGTAGTGGTGGCGGTGGTCGTGGTGTCCTTCGACTCGGAGGTGGTCCGCGAGCGGCCGTCGGTCGGTGTCATCCTGTGGGAGTGCAGCTTCTCCGGAAGCAGGGGCTCCTTACATTGCTCACTGCCGACAGAAAGGTCTCCGCTGGTTAAGCTACTTCTTTCTCGGCACCGAGTGCCGGAGAATCTCATTAACCCTTTGGCTACGGCCGTCAATGGGCGATAAACTCGAACCGTTACGGTTTATCAGTATCTTGGAACGAAATTGCCGAGATTGCCGTTCTGCGGTAACGAAATGGTAAAACCGAGGGGGAAACCGCTGAGAGCCTTGTGGTGTACAGATTTGCGGCATTACTAGGCAGCTTTTGGACATTAGGCCTTGCTGGGGCATTATAAAAATAAAATAAGATAATAAGATAAAGTAATGCCAACTGGGCATTAGTGGGCATTGGTGTACAAGATTTTGCTCAGCGGTTTCCCCCTCGGGTAAAACGTTACCATTCCGCGTTCGTGGAATCGTCTTTTCAACTTCACGAACTCCAGAGTAAGAATTGATTAATATTGATATTATAATATTTGATTCAATTCAATCTTGGAACAATACTTGATAACAACTGTTCTAACACTTATACGTAATTTAGTAATATTCTATTGATAAGAAATAGATTGTATTTTATTTCTAGAAATCTTTATACGCTGTTCGATCATTAAATATCATTTGAAAGCTGATATAGTTAGAGAATTAACGTTAAGAAAAATCCACTCCTCTTTTACGGCGTAAAATTAAAAATGAAAACGGAGACGCTTGAATTGAGCGATGCGAAATGAATCGATGCCGGATGAATGGGCGCGTGACGCGATCGATCGTCGTAAATCGCGCACGTGCGTAAATCCACGATTAATTCCGCCACACGATTCTTTATTCGCGGTCCTATGCCGAGCACTGTCACTCGCCCACCGCATCTTAGCGCAGACGCTCGTTGATTCGTGTTTTCCAACTCGACATTTTGGCCGTGGTACCTCTTTTTTTTTCACAATCGAGAGACCGAGAACTTTTCGCACATTACTTTTCAACGTACTTTTCGAACTTGACGCCGGTATTGGCAGTCTGGAGCGACTGTGGCTTGTCGGGCGGCACTCGTACCGGATGTTGATGCACCTGGCCCTCTATCATCTTTCTACTGAGGGCTGCGTGATACTCGCTGCCGCGAATATACAGCCATTCTCCTTTGAGAATGATAAGACTCGCGCCGCCGACAACGACGACGACGGCGATGACGACGACGGTTGTATTTCAGGACACAAATAACGTAAATTACGTAATTATGCCGCGGGACAGCCGCTATCTTTCTCTTCTCCCTTTCTCTCTCTCCCGCTGATTAGATTCGTTCAGGAACTGCTGTTAATCACGGCGAGAACCAAAATGTGAATCATCCAGCGACGTGCCTGGGTCGAAGAAAGGTGAGCAGCCTCTCCCCTGCCTGAGGACCACTGCCAAACAATCGTCATGTTAATTCAGAGATTAACAGAGCACGTGGGGTACGGACTAATCGGAATTTCTTAGAGTCGCTATTGGGAAAAAAACGCTAAAGCTTGCTCGTAATTTTCTACTTCGAGAAAGCTGACATCTCTAAAGCACGATCGCTTTCGCAGAGTCGATTATATATTTTTCAAACAATTTCCCGGAGAGATTTACGCAAACTTTACGTCGCTCCGAAGATTCCGAGTACTTTCTAACCAACGTAGATGGAATTTAAATTACTCGATCCTGCAATATTGATCCTACTCTTAGATAATTGCCGAGTCTGCGAAACGATATCGTGAAAGTGGTATCGTACACGGAGATAATTTTCTCATAAAATTTAGCCTCAGAATCATGTCATCGTGGGACAACATGGTGTTTTGAAGAATTTTATGAGTTTCTTTGAAAGTTTACCATACATTTTACTAATAAAATGTATAATTATTAGTAGTTGTTCAAAATGCCGTGTTGCCCCACGATCTCACAATTTTCAGGATAAATTTTCAGGGTAAATTTTAACAGAAAATTCTCTCCGTGCATCGTCACATACGCATATAAGACTACACGATTCCGTGATTGTGCGCCACGTTTACGAGGACTCATCACGTGTGTCATGCAAATATAGTATCGCGAATAGACGCAGTTTCATACACATCGCGCGTGTCTCTAATTAACATGTAACACATTCAATTCCCCTCCCTCCCCCGCTTGAGCTCCGCCTCGGGAGGAATCGCGATGATTTGTTTCGCGGTAATCCCGCTAACGCACGTGTGTGCCCCATTATGCAATTAAAATAACTTGCACGGAGGACGTTAACAAGTTATCCGCGGCGCCGCGATCCACTTCATTTTCCTTTAATCCCAATCGAACCGGCCGATCGAATTCGGACTGACTTTCGATGCGAGATCTTCGGTTATCGGTATCTGGAATTCACGCTTCGATTTCGTCGCTGCTGAGTACGCCAAGGGCGATAACGATGTTCAATCGTGCGGCGACCTTACGCGTGGAAATTGAAACCGCGAGGGCAGTTTGATCGAGGCCAAATCGCACGGCCGTTCGATCGAGTAGCGTTGCCTTCGTAATCTTAACTGTAACGTCGATATTACGTCAGAGCTCGAAAAAGAAACGAAGAAATCCCCTACGCTCAAGTATCGCGACTGAAGGAACGAGCGGATGGCAATTTTAGTCATTTGGAAATTAAATATTTAATTTTCCAGCTTGGAAAATTATTTTAAAATAATTTCTCTCCGTTTTTCGTGCAGTCGCTGTCTCTATTCGTTATCCTACGTGATCCGAAGATTAGAAGCGCCCAGCTTCTCAGGCTCCTCGATTCTCAGCGATTCCGTTCGATCGGCGTACTTTTCTTTTGCAGAGGTGGCACATTTGGTTTTCTCCCGTCGTCAAACGAAGAGCACGAGAGCAGGCTTAATCGCGTCAATCGAGATACAACTAGGCCGCCGGCCCGATCGATAAGGATCAATGTCGAGTCACCCGCGCGATCGTGTATTCATTGTCCGATTAGCTGCACCTTGCGTCACGCGTCGACCGACCGGCGGGTCTGGAAGGCACGTTGTGCATCGCACGAGTTCTCCCGACCTTAACCTACGCACAATCAAGCCTCTCCTCGTCGGGGAGCCTCGACGGAGCGCTCGGATGCTATCTGCATCTCGCGTCCTTCGTCCGTCGCGGTTCCCCGTGTCGGCGGCAAACAGGTAGCGGTCTACACGCGGCGGGAAAAACGCGTTCTCCAAGACCTTCGTCCCGGCGCGACGCCTCCGCGACCGGTTCTCCCTCTTTCCCGCGTTTCCGACTCCAGAAGGGTTCTTCGCTAGGACGAAACTTATTAGCGGCTACCTACGAAATAACGAACATGTGCCGCGCCTCGTCGAATTGGACTCGGCATCGCGCCGCGTGTACGAGGTGACGCCCCGAAGAGAGCGGATCGCGAGGTCCGCTGGACATCCAAGGCTCTGATTTGATAGCGATTTAACTCGCTTCTTTGATACAGGACGAAAATCAATTGGAGTTTATCTTTTCAATATCTAACCGTCTAAGGTCCGGCTTCACCAACGTCGCTTAACTTTAAGCTTAGCTTAATTCGTTCCTTGTCTCTTTCCAACTGTTACTTTAGAAAGAGACGGGCGTGAATTGAACCAAGATTAAAGTTAAACGACGTTTGGTGAAATCGGGCCTAAGGGCCAATTTCACAAACATCGGTTAACTGTTAGCGAGAGTTCGGTCAACTTTTTTCCACCTATAGTTATCTAAGGAAAGACAGAGAATGAATTAACTTTCGGTTAGCAGTTAACAGACATTTGTGAAACTGGTCCTTAAATGTTTCTTTTATTCTTAACAAGTGGATTGTCACGGAACCGAACTCTCCATTTCTCCTCTGTCGCTTCGATTCCCCCAAGTCTCGGTCGCGCGAGACTTCATTAGTACTCGCGTCAGCTGTTACGACTCTTGACTGAAAATTTTTAGCAACGCGCGGGAATCCACCTGAACCGGCCGGATATTAGTCTCCGGGAACTATTTCGCGGAACGAGATGCGATTCGTAAGATCCGTCCCTAAAATAAAACGTGTTTCCTCGCCAAGGCGCCCCGCTGGGTCAGACGAAATTCCGGCCTCTCCGAATGGCCGCTCCGTCCCTTCGCTCGTACCTGAATCCCCATCAGGCGTGGTCCCAGACGGACCCCTGACGTTCCCACGAGACCCACCGTCGGGTCCCCTCCCCCCTTCCGTCCAGGTCGCTGATCGCCGGCTTCGTGGCCCGGTGATCGGTTCTTCGGCGCGAGATCAGCCCACATCCAGCATCTGACGGTGGTCACCCGGTGGCCTGGTGCGAGGCCGTTTCACGCTGCGGTTACATCGCGACTGATCGCGGTCGCGCATCGTGCTCGCGTGCATGCATGCCTTCTTAAAACTAGTTTGGAGACACACGCTCCTCTTGTCTGTGTGTGTCGGCGGCGCGCCGGAGGGAGCAAGCGCAGGTTTATCGATTCGCCGCCACTTCCCAGTTCACAGACGGCCCGCGAACTCCTCGCGGCCGTGTACCGCCACTCCGGTACCAGCGCGCCAATGGCGCGCCATCCCTGGCACCCCTCTAGGACGGTGCCGCGAGGGTCGTCTTTCGCGCCCCCCAGTCCCCACGTAACGCTACTCCAACGCCGATCCACGCACCGCCATCGGTTGCGTCATCGTTTCGCGCAAACCGCCGCTGTGTCAGCCAGTGATCTCGGCCGCCCCCGCCTCGAGTTCTTCGTCATTTCCAAGAATCGTCGTGAGCCGCCCTCGCGTTTGAAATCCTGATGACGCCACGGAACCCCCGATCGCGAACGGTTGCGTCAGCGTTTCGGTGCATCCGATGCCATTTCCCTGCGTCGTCTACGATTTCATCGGGTCTTGGATTTGCCCTTAATAATTTGTAAGATTTGTCTTTGTGCTCACAAGCATCCGAGTGACTTTATCCTTCGCAGTGTGTCACAAGTCGAGTTAAGCTCGTTGACGCGTCCACTATTTTCGTACCGCTAAGACAGAGGCTCTTGCAGAGGCGTTTCATTTCTTCGAGCTATCCGCAGAAATTGCTAAACATCGACGATACGCGACGAGTGATCGACATCTCTTCTCGCAAATGACGGCAGACACATGGCGATTGCGTAGCACCGGTTACGTCATCGATCAGCAGCTGATGTGTACGGCAGCTTCTCGTTCATTCATGGATTTACGGCGCATTACGGCGAGAGAGTTGCACAATCATCTCCGTTTCGCACAATTTTCGCGGCTTACGGACGACTCGCCTTTATGCGCTGTAATTCGATGATAGCAATAATTTACTTCAGCAACAATATTCCGCCAATTTTCATTTTGTACGTCGGTCCCATTAGAGCGTTGTGCCAGGCATAATTGCGTCGACCTGGTCATCGATTACGCGTATCCTCGCGGATTACGATGCCGGGCAGAGCTTTTATTCTGTCACAGAAATCATCAAGCGTGTCTGATCTTCAACGAAATTATTGGTAGAGAAAAAGTCCCCTATTATGAGACAAGTTCCTAATATGAGACAGCGGGGTTTCTGTTAAATTAACATAAATTTATTGCTGTTGGAGTGAAATCTGTTTAATGGAAAATTCATTATTATTTGTGCACCGCTACGCGAATTGTTACTCCGATCCTCTTCTCAGTTTCGTAAAACCAGTTTTGAAACCGGCTATCTCACATTAGAAGCCTATCTCTCTCATAATAGGGAACTTTCCTCTAGCTAAAATAATTAGCTGGATTAAAAAAAAATAGATTACTCCTCTTTGCAACAGAGATTTCTAATTCTCCCGATTCAAGTTATTTTTTACATGTTATATTTTTACATGTAGATTTATTATTTGTGCACCGCTATGTGAATTGTTACTCCGATTCCCTTCTCAGTTTCGTAAAACCAGTTTCAAACCTTGTGGACAACAATTCAAAATTCAACATGCGCTAATACGCAAAGTTCGGCATTACAGATACCGCGTATCTAGGCTTAAGCGTGATGCAAATGTGTATAAATCGATCTACCTGTAGACCGCGAGCAATAACTTGCATTGTCAACCCTATTCAGTGACTTCCACCAGCGCAAGAAAATTCATATTGATTTTCTTTTCTGAACTTGTCCAATATTACTCTCGGAGAATAAAGACAGCCCAGCAAGTACGACATTACGTAACGTTTTTATATGTAATAAACGGCTTACGTCCTCAAGTTTAAGTGCCAGTGAAAAACAGGAAAGGCATTAAGAAGCCGTGACTGTTGAATTAGTTGCGTATTTTTAATATATTTTTATTCTGTCTCGAGACACCGCAAAGTTCTCGCTTCGTTATATCTATTCTTCTTCTAAATTCTTTTTTCCACGCGCAGTTATATCTCGTATTATAATTACGTCAATTAACTTGGCGGCCGTGAATGTGATATGATGGGAAAAAAGGTATAATTATACCGATCGATCGCGCGATATTCATGCAAACGAGTTGGCAAATTGAAGCAAAGCACCGATAAATTAACTAGGATATCTCTTAACTTTGCGAGATGATGCAATGAATTCAAATGTCTACATCTAAATGTGCATTGCATTGAAAAAGATTTATGCGCATGCGGTTTGAACTGATTCAGCCTTTTTTTCCCCCTTGAAATTAATATATTATATAAAACGCGCAGATCTTTTTCTGTACGGTATCGTCGAATTTATTGCATCATCTCGCAAGGTAGTCTCGGCGATTAAAGTCCAATATTATTTCTCTTATTATTATGAAGGCGCATTACAAAAGGAATTGCGATCTCTATCGATTCAGCGGGCCGCGTCTCGTACGGCAGAAATCCTTGTCTAAAGTGGAGCGGAAAAATTCGTTCATAACAGTCAGTCGGTCAATGACGCGCGAATAGGATTCACTGGCCCGTCTATGACCGTATCCTGTGTAGGAGCGAAGCCGTAACACTCCGGCCGTTCGTGACACGGCAATTTGTATTCTGGTAACTTGAGGATTAGGTCACACTCGTGTGTGTATATAGTCCCGCTTTCCTAATGATTAAACTCCGCTGAAACGCGTGTATTTCCTGTCGTACGAGCAATTGACGTCGGGGATGCGCGGGTCCTCGGCGTTTTCGAACGAACGAGAACAACGGCGAATTAAAACGCCAATTAATGGCCGTAGAATTGTTTACCGAGTGAAATCGACGGGGTTCTTCCAAGAGTTACAAAGGAGGAGCGTATCAAAACTATGTGACAACGAAAAATCAGATTATTGAGTACACGATTAACGTTTCCAATTAAAAGGCGAATTTCATTGTTTAAATACGCGGATATCGTCTGCGATAAAAGCGGCAGGTATCGAAATCTCTAACGACACTTTTAATTCGCACTTTGACGAATGACAGCCGCTTAGTCCGCGTGGAACATGACGGATCGACATTTGTCTACGCGGAGAGAATTTTATCTTTAAGTTTACCATGAAAATTATGTGATCGTGGCACATTCAAGAACTTTATGAGAGCTTCTTTGAGAGTTTATCATACATTTTACTAATAAAATGTATAATTATTAGTAGTTGTTCAAAATGCCATGTTGTCCCGCGATTACATGATTTTCAGAATAAATTTTACAAGAAAATTCTTTGTGTAATTACGCAGGTTCTATGTTAGGTATCGGACACGCGCGGGAAACTTGGCGGCACGCTACTCACTCGAATTGTACGTGATCGTTCTAGTCAACATGCCCAGTTCGTCCAGCATCCAGCGATCGACACGATCGGCGCTGCGCCGCTAATGATACAATTTGTTCCTCGAGATCGTCTTACGAGGTCGAGTTTCTTCCTCGCGATCAGACCGCAGCGGCAGATACTCACGGTATCCCTTTCGGTTTCGAATTACGGGACGAGAGAGAGAAAGAGAGAGATTCATCTCATGAAAATGAAGCAATCTGCCCATTCGGTGGGACCACGAATTTTTCTCGCTATTCTCTTCGGCGGCGCGCGATATTCACGAAAACCAGGTCGATGGTGCATACCGACGTTTCATTGAATGACATGCTGGACTATCGGTCGTGCACGCGTTTCGTTCGTGGGCACGATTCGAGCACGATAACGCAGGTCAGACGACTGACGAGCCGATAATACGGCAAGGGTAACATGTCGTAAACGACGATTTTACGATGCCACGTGTCTGTTCGTTTACACGTTATCGGCGAGTTTATTGCATGGCCGTTGTATAACTTCGAGCGACGATAATGCACCGTCATTGAAACTCTTTGAATAATTTTTTTACCTTGACTTTGATAGCGCAAAGAGCGCTAGTTTCATAGACAGCGTTGAATTAAACAAAAATCAGCATCCTATTTTCTTTGAGTTTTGTGCAACTTGAATTTTAACTCAACCATCCGACAGGCATGATAAGCGAGCGCCGGCTTAAGGTAGTTATTTCGTAAAATCATTTATGTGAGAATTGTTTCAAATTTTTACAGTTTATTCTTTACATTAATACGTGCGAATAAGACTAATTAAATTAGAATTGACCGTCTCAAAGTTCTAAAAAAAAATGTTAAAGTTTGCTACGTTACACGAAATATTACGAAATATGTAAAACACGTTAAAAATATTATTACACGTAACAATATAATTCGTTGTAATATTATTACACGTGAAATATTATTTATCTTTAGAACATTGAGTGCCGTTTACCGTCTGGAAGAAACGTTTAAGCATTACTGCCGCGAAACAACTACCTTAATGACTTATTGTAGTCAATTTTGTAGTTGCTTAGATCGGTATATTTCTAATCTATCTTGAAAATTGCTCGCGTCTTTAATTTACAATACCAATCTTGAGATCTAATGTTTTTCTATTTTTCGCAAATGTTTTACTCAACTTTCCTACGAAACGAATCAATTAATTAAAGCTTCGAAGACGACTCGTTCAACGTATCGTACTTCATTAAGTTCCATAGGATTTGTTTCGGAAGATGTAACTTTTTTACGAGTCCAAGTCTCTTCGCAAGCATAGGTTTTGGCATGTATCCGGCTAGAAGCGATATCATCTGCCCGCACGCGCATACCTTTCGTGGTTCCTTTTAAAGCGTCGATTACGTAAGATTCGCTCTTGACTCGGCAAAGGTCGACATTGAAACCGGGTCTGAATGAATCGTGTAACTGGAACGCATTCAAATACGCGACGATTTTCCCCGGCAATTTCAATAAAACGGCGTATACCCACGTGTAATTTAGCCGCGCGCGTGGATTCTGCCGTCCGTTTAGCTGGAGATACGGGATTTTACCGACACCTGATCTCTCTCGTCAGATCTGCGTGTCGCTCGCGTCTCATTTGAAATATTAACGTAGCTGCGACAGTGCATCGCGCATTTGCAATTACGATTTGCGCGCCACTCCATTCATTTTCCTAATTTCATTAATTTCACGCGCGTCAGGATATGTCGCAGAAAGAGAACTGCATTCATTAGTACACCATGTACATGTTACGTATATTGCTGCATAAATTGCTATTATCGCAAGTAGAGATGTGCATTTGATAAGGCTGTCTCTTCCCAAGGTATCTACTTTAAGAACTGATAATCAGTACTTGATGTTCCTCCGCAAGTTGATCGTACAAGTGTAAACAAAT